GAATAGGTACGGCAGCATGAGGCGGCTAAGCTCGGCTGTGGCAGGCGAGGAGTAGCGAGCGACGACAGCGTCGTAGAGGGCCTTAGCGGATTTGCAGTCGCCAAAATGCTCTAGCTCAGCTAACGGCAGGTGACTGCGAATGGCTAGGCGAGCAGCTGCGTCACGAGTCTGCCAGTGGGAACGAACACTAAGCTCAGCTGTGGCAGGAGGGGCAGGCGCAGCACCAGACGCGTAGTCATAGAGCGACACATGCTCCTTGCTATCGCTCAGGAGAAACAGCTGCAGGTCATCTAGCCAAGCGGTGAAACGCACAGGGCGGCCCTCAGCATCGAACGACAGCACGCGAATGGAAGCCATAGCGACAGTGTGACAGAGTAACGAAAGCTGCCGCAGCAGGGGAAGACGACTGTGCACGGATAGAGAGCAGCGGGCGAGGCTGGCGCTACGGGCAGGCGGCGCTGCAAGCGGTCAGTGCGACGGGAGGGCGACGCTGCGAGCGGGCAGCGCGGCGGACGGGCCGGAAAGCGGGCAGCGCGGCGGGCAGGCGGCGCTGCAAGCGGGCAGCACGGTGGGCGGGCGACGCTGCGAGGCGGGCGGGCCGCAAAGCGAGCAGCGGGCGGGCGGGCGGGCTGCGAAGCGGGCAGCGGGGCGAGCGGGCTGCGATGCGGGCGGGCCGCGAAGTGGGCAGCGAGCGGGCGGGCGGGCTGCGAAGTGGGCGGGCCGCGAAGCGGGCAGCGGGGCGAGCGGGCTGCGAGGCGGGCGGGCCGCGAAGTGGGCAGCGAGCGGGCGGGCGGGCTGCGAAGTGGGCGGGCCGCGAAGCGGGCAGCGGGGCGAGCGGGCTGCGAGGCGGGCGGGCCGCGAAGTGGCGGGCCGCGAAGCGGGCAGCGAGCGAGCGGGCTGCGAAGCGGGCGGGCCGCGAAGCGGGCAGCGAGCGGGCGGGCTGGCTGCGTAGCGAGCGGGCCGCGAAGCGGGCAGCGAGCGGGCGGGCGGGCTGCGAGCGGGCGGCTCGGCGAGGGGCGCGCGAGGGCGCTAGTGAGAGGCGCGCGAGGGCGCTTGCAAGGGGCGCGCGAGGGCGCTAGCAAAGGGGCGCGCGAGGGCGCTAACGAAGGGGCGCGCGAGGGCGCTGACGTGGGTGCGCGCGAGGGCGCTAACGAGGGTGCGCGCGAGGGCGCTAACGAGGGCGCACGAGGGCGCTACGAGGCTAGGGAACGGGGTAGCGTGGTAACCGCATGCGAGCGGTGGTGGGCCCTAAAAACGATCGGTAGGTCCTAGGGACCTCCTGCTCTGAATACCATATCAGAATCACTAGGCAAGAATGAATGAACTAACAGAAGTTTGGGTACAAATATGAAACCCTAGTTGGGGTTGTACCCCATATTGGCTACCCCACTACAGCCTACAAGCATAATACAGTTTAACACAGCAGGCCCATGTCTTAGGCGTTTATTGCGCGTAAATTGCACATGCAACACTTGTTGAAATTAGCACGCTGTGTGATTGGGATTTGCACGTCGCAAACTTGCGACATGTTTGCACATGCTTGCGACGGAATTTTTTATTTTTTTTTTTTCGTGAAGTCGAACGCGTGTGAAAAACAAAACAGAACAACACTCTGAATTTCAAAAGCATTGCAAAGTTAGTATGAGATTTCAAGTGGACCCACTAGAAGGGAGGGGGGGTCATTATTTTAGCTGCTGGCTTTAAGGTTAGCAGCAAAAATAGTGACACCCCCCTTCTAGTTGGGTCCAACTAGAAGCCTAAGTCACACGGGTTTTTTTAGGAAAGTTGGAAGTGTTTTGTCTTCTTTTTTTTTCAGGGTAGTACGAGTTCAAAAGTGAACAGGAAACGATTGGTGTTCACTTAGCGCACAACAGCATGTCTGACAGCGGAATACACTCGTTCTCGGTTAACACCACGAAGGCTAAATTGTCGCTTCGATTGTCGTAACCAGAAAGCGTAAAGTTATCATAATACTTCTTAGCGTGTCGCACGACAAAGCGAATCAGCGAAAGAAAATATCTCAACACATCTGAGACATTGCACTGTAGGTTGAACTGAATCGTTTGTCTCTTGTCCCGCACCAAAACGGATGGATAATTTCAAAGTAAAAAAGTCGAGAGTTAAGGTTAGTGCGCACAAGGTGCATCCGAAATGATGGTGCGCTGAGTTGCGATTATGCACAGCGAGACTTCTATCCCCGGTAAAGAAAGAGTGTGTTACAACCCTGATGTTCAATTCTCGACCCTGAACAGTCAGAGTTCACTCATTTTCAACACTGAGCAATCATAGTAGCAAACATGTAGAAAATATGCACCCATAATACAACGGATTTTTTTTCCCGGACTCAGGGAGGCCTGATTTGAAACGTCAGCCCTGGTGCATTCTCTCAATATCAGAAACTTTGAATCCTGAAAACGTATCCGGTAAAAAAAAGGCACATTTTTTTAGTTGAAGTTGTGAGAAATTTTGTTGTGTTAAATGTTATACATCTTTAGTGATAATCATTAGAAATAAATATTTGTTTTAAAAACGCGGCAATCCTGGTTCATTCCAAAAATCTTGGTTCAACAACTATCCATGCGCGTACTGTATACAGTAGACGCCGCGTTCAAACGTATGTAAGAGGTTAGGAGGGCTTGCAGTGAGCTCGGGATTCGAAAAGAGACAAAGCGGAGGCTCGGATAATCGAGGTTTTGGCCCCAGACCAAGACAGCCCTAATACAGTTCAGGGTCCGAATCGAATCAGTTGTTCAAGCACTGCATGACAAAAAATGTAACACAGCGGTTGTTTCTGGTGGAACCCGCCACGCTCCCTCGACTTCATCGACTACGCTCGCTCACACACACACCCATCTCTAGTTTGGGGAGTCATGGAAATTCTGGGTTTCTTTTTACGTTAGGCGCCATGGGAAAAAATGTTCGACGAAACGTCAGACGCCACTATCCTAACAGCTGCCACACTGGACCGAGAGCCCCCCCCCCCCGTCCATCCGCCCGCCTCTCGATCTCGTGAGTTCTTCGCTGTTGCCACCACACTTCGATCTCTACGGCTCTGTTCTGTAGGCCCTGGTGGTGGGGGGGCGAGGGGATAGGTAGCTTCCCCCTCCTTCGTTTTTTGGTTTGGAACGGCTAACCGTTCAGCAAACGGTGCCGAGCCAGTCATTTCCCCTCCGAACCTGTTTGAGGGGAAATGGCTACAGAACAGCCACTACCCTCTGTGGTTTAGGCTTCTAGGAAACTACCAACTCCCCTCCCCACCTTCCTTCTCGGGCAAAAATCAAGCCACTCGCCCCGCCCTTCGAAACCCGCTTTTTCAGAGCGTGGCGAGAGACATGGGAGGGATGTACCGGGGGGGGGGGGGGGGGGGGGACACCCACATTCTACTCCAGATGGACATGCACAAACGTCGCGCTTAACCCATCCTCTCAAGAACAACCCGCTCGATGAAAAACAAGGCCGAGCCATCTTGCACAAACAGAATAACCCCCTGCGGCTCGTTTTTCAAACGCTGAACCCCCTGCGGCAATTGTTTACACCCCTCGTTAGGGTTGCTCGATTCGATGTACCCATGCCTATGGGGCGTGAAATTGTGCAAGTTAATGTGTCATTACCGTCGGCAACTTCCTGCCCAGCTCCAGAAGTTTCGCGCTTTCGACTGTAGTGGGGTTTTTGTGATTTCGACAGGGAAACTGCTTAGGAACCCTCGTCATTTACATTCGGCCCCCCTCCTCTCCCCCACGGCATGTGCCTGCAGAACAGAGCCCATGACTCCGTCTCAATTCTTCTGGTCCTCGTCCTTCCCGGGTTCCGTGCGACTTAGGACGCGTCAACTCCGGATATTTTGGCGATCGATCCTGCGCAGGATCGAGTGTCGTCGGGGTTTGAAGAGGTTCTATTACGTCTTAAATGCAGTTGAGGGTTTTAAGTGCGGTTGCGGGTTGATAATGCAGGATCGATCGCCGATTTTAGCAGGAGTTGACGCGTCCTTAATGGAACCCTTATTCCATCCTCATTCATCCTCTCAAACCATCCCTTCCCGTCTCTCTCGCTCGCACCTTCTCGCCTCCTCCCCCTCCCCTTCTCGTTCTGGCTAGTTCAGTCTTCCACCCCCTCAAGAAATTACAGTTTAGTCACGCTTGTTTTGCAGCGTCTGTCCCGTAAGAAACGGGTACCACGACCAACGTGTAGATCTTCAAGACGCCGCTGCATTCTCTCTGTGTATCATAGATTCCGGTATCAACTTACGCACTGTACTGATCGCAGTTTCCCGCGCATCGCATTGAATCGTCGCGGGTAGGAATGGCATTTGTCATCGGCCAATCCCATCCACCCACCATTACTACTATGGCGATCGACATATCAACCGGCGGCGAGCAGAGGGGAGTTTTGTGCAGCTCTCGCGAGAGTATTTTCCCCTGGCGCGAGAATGATCCCCCCTGGCGCGAGAATCATCCCCCCTGCTACCGGCGTCGACTACTTACCTCAATTTGCTACTGTAGAATTTCTCATCAACACACAGATACCACCTTACCCAGCAGCTACCACCGCTACTAGCAGATTTGACAGCAATAGGTCACGTTCGAAGCAAGTCTTAGCTGATTTCCCGCGCAGTGCCGTGCTGGGTACCTGAGCAGTCGCTGTTTCTCTCACCCATCGTCACGTCGCCGCGTCCAGGTGGCTTTTGACTTGAGTCCAGCTCACGCGTCGTTTTCGTTCCGCGCACGCGCGGCCCGCGCCGCGACATCCAGCGCCGCGCGCCTCGGAGGCTCCTTACTTCTTCTAACGACGGCCTTGCTACCGGCGGCGCCGGTGGGAGCTACTACGCGCCTCCGAGGCGAGTCGCCCTGAGGGATAACCCGGAGAGAATACCATCATCCGACGGTGGTGTGACGTCATCGTCATGATGGTTCCCGCGGTGGGTGACGTCACCGCGAACAGTGGTGGTACTACTACCCCTTCAACTGCTAAAAGTACAAATGACATCATGACTCCGAGGCGCAATGATGCGACTCCGAGGCGCAATAATGCGACTCCGAGCCCCTCCTATTCTGCGGGTGATACCATTCCGCACCCCGAGTTTTGCGGTTCTAGCATCGGCGACTCGGACGGCGGCGCGAAGAACTCGCCTACTCCACCCCGTCCCCACGCCGACAGAAGCAGCGGTGGCGATACTATCCGTCGATCTTCCGTCGCGTCCGCGCACCGCCGAATCATGCCGCATCGAGAGCGGAACCAGGAGCACGGCGACATCATCAGCGGCGGGGATCGGCACGGCGGCGTCCCCCTGGCTTCCGCCATTGCTTTCCGAAGCCACGCCGCGCAGCCCGCACGCCGCCGCTGGGGACGTCGTTCCGCGGAAGGCGCGCGGGCTGACGTTGCCTAGTCTTGTTGTTCGGGAGAAACCCCCCCGCGGAGCCGGCGGTTTTGCGGCGGTGGTGGCGGTTTCCGCCGCCGTGCGCAGCCCGCACGCGGAAGCTGTTCGGCGGAAAGCCGCGTCGTCGCTCGACATGGGCGCGGAGTGGCGTGACGAAGCGCTGGTGGCTTCCGCGGAGCGCACGCGCAGCGGACGCCCGGGGGAAGCGCAAGCGACAAGAAAGGCAGCGCAAGCGAGCGTGGAAGCGGCAAGGAAGGCGCAAGCGAAATCTCAGATGGCGAAGGCGCAAAAGATGGGAAGTCAGTCGCGGAAAGCAGCGCCGCCTCCACGGAAAGCAGCGCCGCCTCCGCGGAAAGCAGCGCCGCCTCCGCGGAAAGCAGCGCCGCCGCCGCGGAAAGCAGTGCCGCCGCCGCCAGCAGCAGCGGATACTCGTCTGACGACAGCAGCGGCGGCAGAGACGTGAGCTGTGAGTGCTTCCCCCTCTTGCGCTCTGGCGGCCACCAGGGAGGGAAAAATGTGACGGTCGCACGCAAGATGCTAAGCGCCGCCGCCGGTTCCACGGCGGCCACAGGTGTTCCGGCGCCTGTGCGCGGCGGCTCCGGCTGTTGTAAAATCACTGGCGAATTAGCAACGGCAGCAGCCGCCGCTCTGGCTGCTCGGCAAAAGCCTTCTCTCTCTTCCCCCGGCGCTTCCCCCAAAGGCGGCGCTCGCGCTCCTTCCTCCGGCGGCACCACCGCCAGCGGTTCTTCCGCCTTGAATCAGCTTTCCGCCGTCGCCGCGCCCTCTCCGCGCCATCCGCGCGTCTCCATCGAGGCTCCTCAGCAACCTCAGCAGCAGCAACACTCTTCTCCGCGCCATCCGCCCCATTCCCCCCATCCACCCCATTCCCCCCATCCACCCCATTCCCCCCATCCGCCCCATTCTCCCCATCCGCCCCATACGCCCCATCCGCCCGCATCGCCGTCCCCTCGTCATGCGCCGTCCCCCCGGCCTGGGCTGACCCGCCGTGTTGCCTCGTCGCCTCGATTGGACCGACTCCTCCTCTCCTCGCCTTCACACGGTCATCATTACAGTCATCATTACAGCCATCATCGCGCCGCCCGTAGATCTGCGTCTGTGTCAGAGCGCGATTTCAAGGCCTTCGACGCATTAGAAGGTTCATAGGCAAGCCAGAACAATCTCACTGAGCTCACAGGGATGACTGGCAACCACCGTATTGCGCGCAGAGCAGGGTCTGTGTCAGAGCGCGATTTCAAGGCTTTCGATGCTGACTGCAGCTTAGAGGGTTCAGAGGCAGGCGCTACTAGCAATCGCGTTTAGCACACTGCAATGACTGGCAGGCAACACCGCACCGCCCGCAGAACAGGCTCCATGACAGAACGCAGCTCTGGGGCTTTCAAGGGCTTTGAGGGTTTCGAGGCAGGTTCTGCTTGCAAGCCCCGCAGGCCTGGGTCTGCTACTTCCCCTTCCGCCACTTCCCCTTCCGCCACTTCCCCTTCCGCCACTTCCCCTTCCGCCACTTCCCCTTCCGCCACTTCCCCTTCCGCCACTCCCCCTTCCGCCACTCCCCCTTCAGCCACTTCCCCGTCCTCCACTCACCTCTCCGTTATAACTCGTTCCAAGTCCGCCCCTGGGATAGTACGCAACTGTCCCCTCACCTCTGGGATAGTACGCAGCTGTCCCCCAAGCAAAGCACTTGCCAATTCCCCTTCTAGCTCCCCTTCCCCCACCCTTCCCGCTCCCACCCTAGCCCCCCATGCGCCCCTGCCCTCCCCTTCCCCCGCGCCCTTCCGCCAGCACAAGCCCTCCCCAACCGATTTCCCCCGCCGCCCCCCTCCCCTTACCACACCCCTGACTCAACCAGACCCTTCCGCCTCTTCCCCCCAAACCCCCGCCTCCCCCTGCCATTCCCCCACCTTACCCTGCCCCATCCCCCAGGACCCCTCCCACAACTTCCCCCCGATCTCCCCATCCAAGCCCCCCCGCTTCCCCACATGTTCCCCCAAGATTCCCCCCTCTTCCTCTGTGGGAGCCTCCTATCCTGCTGACTCTTCTGGAGGGGAGAGGCTGGGGGAAGAGGGAGAGGTAGTGCTGCTTCAGAGCCCGACCCTAAGGACGGATTTGGCAGGGGAAAGACGGGCAGCTCCAACTTTGCGGGAGCCTCTGTGGGAGCCCCCTATTCTGCTGACCATCCTGGAGGGGAGAGGCTGGGGGAAGAGGAAGAGATAGTGCTGCTTCAGAGCCCAACCTTTTTTGAGGCGCCTCAAGAAGAGGGAGAGGTAGTGTTGCTACAGAGCCCGACCCTGAGGGACGGATTTGGCAGGGGAAAGACGGGCAGCTCCAACTTTTTTTCCTTGGATTCTGAAGTTTTGGGGCAGCCTCAGGACGGGAAATCCCGGGATCTGCGTGGAATCGAGAGTGGGAAAGAGGGGGCTGGCAATGGTAACAGTGGTGGTGTGTGAGAGTACGACGGCTTATGCCAGCTATGCATGCTTGCCTTTACTTTATTATGCTACTTCTAGCTTAGGTTTATTTTATGCATGCATGAATTGCTTGATTTCCTAGGCTAGGTGCTTTCCTATATTTTATTATAGTTATAGCACCGAGCTAGGTTGCGTACACCGAATTCTGGGCTATTCGGTTGCCACTGAATTGCCTTCTACCGAATTCGGGAAGGGTCTGTTCGGGACGCTTCGCGACCCCCAGAACCTTCGCGTAACACCTGGTTACTGCCCCTTGTGTCGAGCCTATATATAGCCTCATGTTGTACCCAGGTGATCATTCAATTCAAACTCTCTTTTCTGAGCTCAATCCTAGATCCTCACACTTGGTAATCAGAGCCCGTTTACACGCAAAACTTTTTTCGACCGCTAAAACCGAGTCTTCAAAACCCGTGGGGGCGACGCAGTTAATCATCGATTTCGGGTACGTAAAACCGGTTCCGTGTTTTTTGCTCCCCCTCGTTTCGGTTTTTTCGGACGCGCAATGTCAGGCATGGAGGGCCAAGGCGACAACTATGCGACCACGAGCGACATCGCGAGCCTCCGCACCGACATGGAGCAGACGCAGGCGGCGCTACGACGACTCGAGGCCCTTCTGACACACCAACCAGGAATCGCCACCGCAGCAGCAGCGACCGCAGCAGCGAATGTAGCAGCGACAACACCAGCAGCAGTGGCGACACCGACATTTCACGGACCGATGGCACCACTGTCGCCGAACCTCGAAGCAGCACGACCGAGGCTCCCTGAAGCGTTCGATCCCAGCGCGAAGGGATCCGACGTCCGGCGATTCGTGGCAACCCTCGAAATTTACTTCGAGGCCATTGGCTGTTCGACCCCGACACACGACGCAGCAAGGATTCGGCTCGCAGCGACACTGTTACGTGGACCGGCACTGGAGTGGATTTACTACACTGACGTGGCCCGCGGGGAGAAATCGTGGGCGCAGTTTCGGGCAGACTTAATCGAACGTTTCGAACCGATTAACACGACCTACATGGCGCGGCAGCAGATACACCGACACAAGCAATACAGTAGTGTAGCACAGTACACGCAGCAGATGGAGCTACTGTTCAACCGCATCACCGACCTGACCGAAGGCGAAAAAATCCAGGCGTACATTGAAGGGTTAAAATTAGAGATTCGGCGGCAGGTGATTGCGGCGAATTACAACAGCTATCGCGACATCGTGCGTGCTGCCGAGCGATACGACGCGTTGACTCGAGGTCAACCCGAAACACGACGTTTCGCGCCGAACCGTACATTCGGCACGGAGCGATCGGCACCCCCCACGTTCGCCGAACCGATGGATATCGACAAATACGACGCGAAGCAGCAGCCGACAAAATGCGAGTTTTGCGGCGCAGCAGGGCATCAGTTTTTGTCGTGCTACAAAATGAAGAAGGCACGTGCGGCACTCCGGGACGGTAACAGTGGAGCACCCCCGAAGTAAAAAAACGGCAATCGCCAGTAGCCGCGGATCGACCTGGCGATCGCGTAAAGATCCGAAAAGGAGAAAAAGGCTACGACGTGGCGACTTCGGAGCGGGTGAAAAAAGGAGAAAATGATGACGCGAATTTAAAACGTCACGACCGGCCGGCATCAGGGGAAATCGCCGAGGCGAATGGAGGCTCCGCGAAAAAAGACTCTGCACCGACCGGGAAACTCCAGCTGAACACCCACGAAAGTAAGCATTCGTTAAAAGTATCCTATAAAGATACTCTAACGAAAAACATTGCTTCTCGTGGTTTTCAAGCCTTTGAAAAATTCAGGGGAGGTTTAGAGGCCAAGAAAAAGCCTTTAGAAATTATTCAGGTACCTGAGAAGTTGGGCAAAGTACTACGGAGCGTAGAAAAGGGTCGTGCGTTCCGTGGAGTTAATATTCTCTCCCCACAGCATAGTGTTAAGGCTCCTCGTTGCCCACAGGTGAAGCCTACACAACTGCAAAGGCTTAGAGGGGACATCCAGGCTCAGGAGAAATTATACAAGCCTCGGAAAAATCCTCCTACCCCCCAGGTGAAGTTGGAAAGTGCTGAGTCAGGTATAGGAAATAGGGAAGGTATTCATTTTGATGTACCCTATGATCCTATTAATGAGACCCTCTTTGGCTACTCAGCGCAGCAGAAACCACTACTCCTCGAGGTGTTATGCAATGGGCGACGCCTCCAGGCACTGGTGGACAGCGGTGCATCTCACTCGGTGTGTGACCGCGGAACATTGGAGAAAATTGGAGAAAAAGCGGAGGAGACCCAATTCTCTGCAACAATGGTGGACGGTACGAAGCTTCCCATCCACGGCGAAGCATCACTGCAGCTGCACATAGGGGCGCTAAGGTGGAAGCCGACGTTGCCGATCACCAATATCAAGGGACTAGATTTCATCTTGGGGCGAGATTTCCTGAAGCGGTTCAACCCCGAGATAGATTGGGTCAACAGCAAAGTGTGCATCTACAACAACGGGAAGCGGATAGCACTGCGAAGCTGGACGGATACAGGGGACATTCCTGAGACGACACTGGCACGGTTCGAACAGACGGTAAACGAGAGCAACACTGGTTACTTAGCACTGGTCATGGCAGCAGCAGAGGAGGAGAAGCCGAGTTCCGAGCTACCTGCAGCAGTGAAGGAGGTCTTGGAGCAGTATAAGGAGATAATTCTCGACGACCTACCTGCAGGCGTACCTCCAGCACGCACCCACGAGCACGAGATCGTGGAGGAACCAGGTGCGAAACCTGTCTCACGTGCACCATACCGACTGAGTCCGACCGAGCTGACAGACATGAAAAAACAGATCGAATATTTACTGGACAGACAACTGATCCGCCCATCCACATCTCCCTACGGTGCACCCCAAAGCCAGACGGCAGTCTACGGATGTGCATCGACTACCGCGCACTGAACAAACAGACAGTTAAAAATAAATACCCCATACCGCGCATCGACGACTTACTGGACCAACTGCGTGGTGCAACAGTTTTCTCGAAGCTGGACCTACGGTCGGGTTACTGGCAGATCAAGATGGCGGACAACTCGATCCACAAGACGGCGTTCCGTACAAGATACGGCTCCTACGAATACTTGGTGATGCCGTTCGGACTCTGCAACGCACCCGCGACGTTCCAGGCAGAGATGAACCACATCCTCCGGCCCCTGCTGGACGAATGCGTAGTAGTGTACCTGGACGATATCCTCATCTACTCCAAGAACATGAAGGAGCACGTGGAGCATCTGAAAACCCGAATGGGCAAACAGGAAACCCTTTTCCTCCTAAGAGCCCAGTGAAGTCGTGTTTGTCAAACAATGTACTTGTGTTATTGCTTTGTAGGCTACTGTGGGTTAGCCTTTAGGGGGTACACAAACTCTAGGGTTGCATATTTGTACTCCCATCTTCTCATAGTTCAACACACTTCTCTCATTCTGACATGGTATTACGAGCCTAGGTTAGGAACCTAGGACCGTTAGGGCCCACCGTTCCGCTCGAAGCGCCCTCGTGCGCCTTCTCCTCCTTGCGCCCTCGTGCGCCTCGCTCCTAGGGCGCCCTCGAGCGCCCCGCTTTTCGGCCGCGTCGCCCGCTAGCCGCCCGTGCGCGGCCCGTTTATTGCCCGCGCAGCCCGCTAGCCGCCCGCGCCGTCGCCGCCGCCCACGAGCAGCCCGCTAGCCGCCCGTCGAACGGCCCTGCTGGCCGTCCAGCGCGCCGCAGCCCCGCCCGTAGGCCGTCGCGTCGCTGCTGTAGGCCGCCGCCCGCGCGCGACTACAGCCCACGCACAGCCGCCGCCTACGCCCAGGCCCGCCGTCGCGTCCCTCTGCCCGTCTGAGCCGCGCCGCGTACCACAGTCCGAACCGCGCCGCCTGACCGAGCCGCGCCGCCCTGACTGAGCCGCGCCGCCCTGACCGAGCCGCGCCGCCCTGCTGTGCCCCACCTGCAGCACCTGTTGTTCCTGTTACTACTACTGCTACTACTGCTCCTGCTGCTACTGTTCCTCCTCCTGCTACTGCTACTATGGCCAGTCCTACTGTACTCACCTTTGACGCTGAGGGCCGTCCGATTAAGTTCGATGTTTGGCTCGATGACCTTCACCTCTACCTTCAGATCACCGCCAAGGACGATATTTCCCTTTATGACCACACGTCCGGCGCCGCTCCCGCACCTGCTGCTGATGCTGATAGCACTTTGCGCTCACAGTGGCAGACCCGTGACGCTCATGCTCGCCTAGCCGTTCGCAGCCACCTGCCGTTAGATGAGCGCGAGCACTTTGGCTTGCATAAGACCGCTAAAGAGCTGTACGACGCAGTAGTCGCGCGCTACTCCTCCCCTGCCACTGCTGCTATAGGCCGTCTCTCACTGCCCTACCTCTTTCCCGACCTGTCCGCCTTTGCCACTGTAGCTGACCTCATCACCCACCTCCGTACCAGTGACCTCCGCTACCGTGCCGCGCTCCCCCCCGATTTCCTCGCCAAGAACCCCCCCTCTCGATGTACCTCACACTGTACCACCTTGTCACCCGCCTCCCTGACTCCCTTCGCACTGTCAGGGACCAGTTTCTCGCCCTCTCCCCCACTGACCTCACTGTCGACCTCCTCGAGAAGGAACTCCTAGCAGCTGAGAAGAGTATTGTAGCTGTAGGTGCCTCTCGTGGTGACCCCCGCACCCCCTTCTTTGAGGGGTGTTCCCCTTCCCCCCTCCTCCCCTCTATTGCATCTGCTGCTGCTGTCGACTACCTCGGAGCTG